GTAAGAGAACACTACACGTTCTCTTGCTCTTCACCTCCACTTTCCTTGGTGCAAATAAATGCTGGTTTTCTCTTGTGCGGGGCTGATCCTATTCGAGAATGTGTTAGGCGGCTCCACTACGGAAGAAAGGCGTCATTCTCCTATATTGGTGTGTCGTTGTAGTTGTTTTGCTGCTCCTCGTTACGACTGATGATGTGGGTTTTGTTGAGGTGATCGCAGCCTTCGTTGATGCTATGTTGATTGGAGGTACTTTTGATGAATGCCAATGAAAAAAGAGAGGGTTACGTACCATGGTCTCCGGGGAGTGGCTCTAAGGTGTGAGGACGTCGCAAGATTGTTTTGCTTCCTTGTGTGTGACTCTGTGGGAAAAAGAGGAAGACACCTTTGGGCTGCACAGGGTGCTCTTGATTGGTGTAGCAGTCCCATCTGGGGATATTTTAACGATGTCAGCGACAGCAGCAGCATGCCGTTGTTTTGAGGGGAAACTGTGCAAGTCCCTGCTCCCACCTTTGGGCCTTTTTCGCGAGTTTTCCTCAGTGCCTCCTGGTGTTCCGAGTCGCAGGGATCCAATGCTTAATTTATGGTTGCTTGGGGGGTTCTGCTTGATGCAAACAGAAGAACATAACATTCGAAATCATCTTGGTGTTGGTGGAAACACATGACGCTATGTGAGGTGTGATGCCTTTGGCTGCTTATTAAGATATGTGAGTGTGTGTGTGCTTTTGTCTTTTGAATTCGTCCGGAGGGAAATAAGTCTAGTTGAGTGGGAAAGTGTGTTGGGCTATATTCCTCCTTCGACGTGTCTTTCACCTGCACATGGCCGTTGTGAAGGAAACGATCAAAGAGCCCATCTTGCATAAGTCGACACCAAGTCGAGTTGTTGGTGGGTGTTCTTTTTGGTTTTGTTCCTGTATACGCTTGTGGTGCTCACCAGCTGTTTGAGGAGCAAAGTGAAGGTGGGATTTCCTCTCGTGTCTGTGTCTCATTTGTGGTGACTGGCTATAACAGTACTTGGGTGGGGTTTCAAGGGGAGTGAGGGAGGAGGTGTGTGTGCATGCCTTGTTGAGGGCTTGGCTTCTTCCCAAGCAACACAAAGCGAATCATTCTTCAGGCGACAGTGTGGTGGCGTGGCCTCCGCAGTCCTTGCCTCAGCATGCGCTTCTGACGAGTGACGCAGGCGGCGCTGACACGCTGACCATCTGAGGTTTTTCTTTGTGAGGTGCCACAGACATTGAGGGGATTGTTGGTGTGAGGTGTGCTGAGGCGCAGGGGAGAGTGCGAAGCCCTAATGAAGTTTGCAGCAAAAGTACTGGGAAAACAGAGTGATCTTCTTGGAGAAGCATAGATATATGCTGAGCGAAGAA